ACATAAGTCAACTTTAAGAATAAATTAGAAAAAAAAAAACAAAAACCTTGAAGCATAAAGAGGCAAAGTGAGGAAAAAAAAAAAAACTTTAAGGGAGCAAAGTGTAATTTATCCTAAATGAAAATTTTAAGAGAATTCAATGTAATTATGGTCAAAGTTTCAACATTTATTATTTTTTTTTTCAAACTTTTAAGAAGGTAAATGTAATTTATTTAAAAAAACAAGATAAGGTGCAATATGTAATTCTCCAACGAGTAATGGTAGAGACTCGCATTTGTGACCTTCAAATGCACTTATAATGATGTGCAAGAAAGTAGAACTCTACATAATTAAATATGTGACAAATTAAAAGTTAACACTTATTATTTCACATTATTATAGATAAAATTATGAATATTTCATTAGAGACTTCAAATGTTTTCATTCTCAAACTATTATTAAATAAATTTCCTCACTTTCTTTTTTCTTTTCCTTTTTTTGGCTAGTAAATTTCCCCGCTTGATTGGCTCAATCTATGGCAAGTGTACGCAAAGATTTTCTTCAAAGAAAAATGAGTGACCCCTTTTCTGGAGAACCTTCACAATTATCATTTATAATGTGTGAGGCCCATTTATATATATGTGAAACTCACATTATAACATAATTTTTAAAGTGATTTATATTATTTATGATATGTAAAACTCACTTATATATTGGTAGTGCTACGTAACTCGAAATTCTTTGGCTCGAATTTGGGGCCTGAGAGCTGTATGTGGGGCTCTTTGAATAAATAATTCTTCTTCCTTTTTTTTTTTTTTTTCTTTTTTTTGTGTTTTTGTTCAATCAGAAACGAAGAGGGGAGAAGAAGAAGAGGGGAGGAGGAGAAGAAGAAGAAGAAGAAGAAGAAAAAAGAGGGAAGGTAGAAGGGAGAACTGGATAGGAGGGGGCCTCAACCAATGGCGGAGGAGCGGCGGAGGCAGTGGTGCTGCGACGAGCTGTGATCGGCGAGGCGGTGGTGTTGCGACTGCGACGATCGGCGAGGAGGTGGTGCTGCGACGATCGGCGGCGGTGGTGCTGCCTCCTCCTCTTTCTCTTCTCCTCTCTTCTCTCCCTCTTTCTCCTCTCCTCTTCCCTCTGTTTGTGCAGAGCTCCTTTGCTTGAAAAGGAAAAAAAAATTCAAGCCGTTTCGAGGCTCTCAGTTTCGAGCTCTGAGTCATTTTTCCTTCTATATATATATATATATATATATGAAACTCACATTATAAATAATATAGATCACTTTAAAGAGTGCGAGACTTTCAAAAATGGTCTCTATCATTTCTTCAGCGGAGAAATCCAGCCACTCATATGATTTTGGGATCTGTAAAGTTCTCCAGGATTGGACCCACTTTACGAATAGTCCCAAGTTGTGGTTTCATAAGTAACACTGCCATAACTTAAGAATTTTTTTTTTTTTTAAATTTCACTTTTATCTTTTATCTTTTAAATTATTATTATTATTTATTTTATTATTAAATTTTTAATTTTGACTATTTAATTATTAAATTTTTTTATTTATGTGATTCAATTGAAGATTATTGTATAAATTAATAATAGTTAAATTTAATTTGATAGATAAAACGATTGTGATATGTAATTTGTTTTAATTTGTATCCGTATTAATTGATTATTTTAAATTTTACACAACTTATATTATACATTCAGACATCCATTAAAATGATTGTGAAATGTAATTTGTTCAAAATAATAAAAAAGAAAAGTGTTTTGTTGTACAATTTAAATTCTAAAATATTATTTTTATTCATTAAATTTGACTTCAGCGTATGCAAGCAAGGCCACAGCCTTGGCCGCAGCCTAGTCCGCGCGCATGTCAGCCAGGCCATGGCCTTGTCAAGTGCTGCAGCCCAAGCCGCGCGCATGCAAGTGAGACAGCGGCCCTGTTCGGTTTACGACCCGAGGCTGCTGTTATTGATTTTATAATCATCTCCAATTAAATTACACAAATCGAAATAAAAAAAATTTAGGAATTAAATAAACAAAAATCATAATTTAAAGATGAAATAGAAAAAATGATATCAATAAAAGAGATAAAAGAGAAATTATAATGAAAATGAATTTATAATTGTCGACCTTACTATTTCAAATTAGGTAGTGACTTCTTTTCAATTTGAAATTGGATTAGAGCTTGTTGTTGGGCTTTCGTGAGCCTATTACGAAGCCCACATTGATGATCCGAACCACTAAATGTATAGAGCTCGTCGACTACTTTATCCCTACAAAATATTATGTTGATTGGTTATCGATAGTCATTTGATCAAATTAAATTTAGGTCAACAGTAAACATAATTTAAAAAATAAATTATTGACACAAATATAATCTAATCAAATGAATATTAATATCCGATCAATATAATTTTTTTAAAAAATAAAATTTCTAATAAATTTTACATATTAAATAATTTAAATCATTAATATGAATGCAAAATTGATTCAAAATGCGTCAGACTAAACCATCCAATTGGAACACTCAACTGAAAAGGGTCCAATCCCTTCAAATTAATCACAATTGTTTACACAGAATCCACTAGTATGGCATACCCTCCCACGTGGTGAGCTGCGCTGGTGCGTCAGCTTAGACAGAGAAAGTTTTACAGCTGCTACTCTTTTTTATTTATTTATTTATTTATTATTTTTCATGGGCCGACAATGTCCCTAGCCCTACCACTTTGAAAAATGTAATTATTCTCTCCCCAATAAAAATAAAGAGTAATATTAAACAAAAAGAGTAATATTATAAAATTAACAAAATTTATACTTTTTTTATTAGAAATATTATACAAACACAATTGTTTATGTGTATTTGGGGGAAATTATTTAATAATTTCGAAACATTACTTGACTATACTCTAAATTAATCATTAATTATTTAGCTTTGTGTTATTTTTTCATTCTCAACATAAATCGTGGGTTCCTATTCTTCTCTATCAATCAAAACCTTATGGAGTACCACCTACCCATACTTTGAAAATAGTGAATAATTACATGTACTCTGTCTGTTTCAATACAAAACACTCATTGTTATATAATTTGAAATTATAAAAATATAATTATTATATCATTTTGTATAAATTATATTTTATTTTTTTTATTCACATAAATTCTAGTGGTAGATAAAAAAAAATTTCTTTACTGCATTTGTATTAGTAAGTTTTTATTCAAAAACAATTTTATTAGTTTGTGTATTATTTTTAATTAAAAATACAATTCATGAATAGCATGTTCTACAAATTTTGCAAATTAATAAACAGAAAAATTAATGTTATAATTTAGATTCATTGTTTCACATTTAAGATAAATTTGGTCTGCATATTAATTTTTAGATAAATTTTACTTTACCACCTTATAGTTTAGGCTATGTGCACAACTTTGTCATTTATAAATAAACACATAACTCTAAGGAGCACTTACCAATCAGTTCTATTAGCTAAGTTTGTTTACTTATATGTTCTGACTGATATATTTATCACTGTAAATTTATTTATAAAAACGAAAAAGACTAATAAATTTATCATTTGATAAATTTATCAATATAACTTAATGGGTAATAAATCTCAAAAGTAAGATCTATTAATAATTTACCTTAGATTATGAATTAAAGTGCATTATTAGGTCAATTAACAACTTAAACAAAATGACTAAAATCCTTTATTCATTTGTAACTCTATTGTGCAGACTATGAATATTTGTCACTTTTTGGGAAGCCAAATTTATTTTAACCCCATGCTTATTTCGTATACAATTTACCTACTAACATTTAGAAATGAGTACATAACAACCTTATATCTTAGCATATTTCTTACAATTTTATTAGATTTCACGAAATATTGAGAATTGACAAACTTAAAATAAATAAATAAATAAATAAAATTGTGGTAAATTTTAAATGATAGAAGAATAATTCGCTCGTAGATCAAATCACAAAAAGATAAAGTGGAATTTGTCTTAAATTTTTTAGTATAAATTTATATAACTAATTTTTGTACACATCCATCTAAAAAATTTCATGTGGCTTGAAAATCTACTAATTGAATTATCTGTAATTTGAGAATAACTTTTTTTGTGACAGTAAAATATCAACACCAACTCAGCCTTTACACACATATAATAGATTTTATTTAGAAATCAAAGTCACAATCCACTTTCCTCAGGAGCAAAAAGCTATTCATAGCCAAATAACTCGATCCGTTTCTTTTCCTCCATGGTTGTCTCTTCTATAACGGAATCAATGTTACGACCAAAATACCCCTTCCTACCACGTACTTGTAGGCACTACTATGCAATTGGAAAATGAACAAGATGAAGGGTATTTTTGTCATTTTATGATATTCAAGTTAGTTAAGTCATTTTGCATGGGAAATAGTTTTTTCAATAATATTAGGTATCATGAAAGAAATATCATAAAAAATCTTTAAAAAAATTCTTCACCTTAAATTAGTTGTAATGTTTTATTGTATGTTATGCAATCACTTTTGGATTAGTTTCATAAAATTTTTCATGATATTTGTTTCATGATGCGCAACATTATTCTAGTTTTTTTTTCTCCGTGTAGACTTTTTTTTTTTATTCGAAAATTAACTTTCGAATAAAATTATTTGGCTTGAAAATCAACTTCCAAACAAAATTATTTGATTTTCACTATATACTTTATTCAAAAGTTTTTTTTTTTTTGGTTATATAAGGTATCCTGGGACAACTTACGCGTACCAGACTAAGTCATTATAGCCTAAACAAACCCCAAACAAGTCTTTCCGAAGTAGGGCTTACACCCTGCAGTCCGTGGCCTTAAGATATGGGTTTACTTGCTAGAAGATTCGAACCTGAAATCTGAGAGGGAGAAAATCTCCAGACCCCATTCGTCATTCACTAGACCAACCACCGTATAGTTTTGGATTCAGAAATTGATATCCAAACAAAATTATTTGATTTAAAAATTAAAGTATGTGAAGTGACATAATGTGTTGTGTGAAATTAGAAGCTCCGTACCGCCTATATATTGAACACAAATTTGTGCCACCCTCACCACCTTAGTACTCATATTTCTCTTCTGCAACTTTTCTTCAAGAATGGAAGAACAAGATCAGAAGGAATTGCAGCTCCTCCCACCCACAGCTTCTTCATCATCATCATCCTCACTTAAATTGATCAGATCAGCACAGTCGGATCCCTACGATGGGCCATCATCACTAGACCTTCAATTGTCGATTAGCGTGAGGCCAATTAGACCCCCACGGTCATCCAATTGTGTTGCAATGAAGCCAATTGGTGGTGATTACAGTAGCGATGGTGGTTGTGTTGTCGAGGCACTAAGATGGCAGGCAGCGGAGCAAATTAGGCTGGCAGCCATGGAAAAAGCATACGCGGAGCGGGTGAGGGAGCTGAGCAGGCGGGAAATGGAGTTGGCTCAGTCAGAGTTGACACGTGCCAGGGACATGTGGGAGAGAGCTTGCCAGGAAGTCGAAAAGGCTGAAAGAATGAAAGAGAAGGCGACTCGAAGGAGGATAGACTCTTCCTCCATTACAACTACTACTACTACGTGCATGGAGATCACTTGCCAGTCTTGCAGGCAAAAGTTTCGGCCTTAATTAAAATCAAATCCTCCTCCTATGTATTTTCATTCGCACAATCATGTATCGAGATTCCTATTACTTCACCTAGGAGATCTCTATCTTTATCCAAATTTCTGTCATCTGTTTCAATATGTACTCTCAGTTACACTCGATCATATATTGAGATTTAAACAGTATTACTATGGCGTTAGAAGTGCAATGAGACAGAAGAACAAAGAAATTTTGATGCCCAAGTGGACTTGTTTTGGGTTTGTAATGTTTCTGAATGAAAAAGGAAAGACACAATAAAGTGGGATTGGAGCTTCAAAATGCCTTTCTTTTTTTTTCTTTTTTTTTTCCTGACACAATCTGCATGATTTATTTGCTACCCAGATGGAATAATAATGCATACATGTTTAGAGGGAATTATTACTGTCGTAATATTGGATTCTTGAAGCTCATTTTTATTTCAAGAAAATCAAAGAACTCACTTTGTTTTAAAACTGCCATTCATCAGGTGGCAATTTCAGTGACTTAAAGCTTTGTGAAATCTTGAGCTATACCCTGTACAGTTCATCACAAGAAGCTTTAGGCTGAGAGTCTGATTCTAATTTCACTGTGAAGAGTTAGGATATATGGTGGGAAATCGACTTAACTCTGTTCAAGATAATTGGCTTTAATAATTACCATAAATTTTGGTCCTTACACTTGTCTAATAATAGAAATTATGTACATGGACCATGCAGAAGTTAGACTGTCGATAAACCACGAGGTTGGTCTAGTGGTCAGAATTCCAGTAGGTGTTGCACTGGGAAGTCATGAGTTTGACTATCCTACTTTACAATATACAAAAATAAAATAAAATAAAAGGTAAATTTATAAAATTTGAAAAATGTCTCGTAGCTCAAATTTTGTGGCTCAAAAGTGGCTCAAATGGCCAAAACGACGTCGTTTTGGCCATTTTTATGTTGTTATGTACTCAAAACGACGTCGTTTTGGCAATTTGAGCCACTTTTGAGCCACAAAATTTGAGCTACGTAACATCGTCGATAAAATTTATACATGTAATTTCTGTAATTTGTGTCTTGTACTAATTTTGTCTTTTAGTTTTTCAAATGATATCAATTTAATCTAATTGAGAAAGGGGAAAAAAATTAAAAAGACAAAATGGTCCATTCAAAAAGGATTTGATCATTTCAAATTGGACGCTAATATCTTAATGATTTTAATCAGAATGAATTTATGAACCATTTTGCATATTGATTTTAGTCTAAATTCTAAAAGTGCATTATTAATAAGACTAAATTAACACAATGTTACTTACCCAAAAAAAAAAAAAACACACACACACACACAATGTGAAAAGTGCAAGGGTAAAATTGATGCAATTAGAATTATAAAGATTAAGTTGACACAAGAAAAAAATTGCAAGGATTATGGATGTAATTTACCCAAACTAAAAGCAGTTAGGGAGTTGATGGTTGGCATGGTACTTGATTATGTGACAGTGAAATTTTTCATTATCTTTTTTTCTTATCCAGCATTTTCCACAGTTAAAATTCAGCCAATTCAACATATATATTTTTAGTTACAACAACTAGAACATAATTATGGTTTGAGAGTCTTATCAATACCCATGGATTGTATACAAGCACCTTATAAATCAACCAAATTGGCTGGTTTCATCTACATTCAGCTGACTTAATGCATGTTTAGCTACTTTTTATTTTCTTTGGTGAGACTTCAAAATCAACCATCAGCTGACTTAATGCACGTTTAGCTACTTTTTATTTTCTTTGGTGAGACTTCAAAATCAACCATCTCTCTCTCTCTCTCTCATTTTATTTTTCTTTTTTTAGTAAACCACGCACCACACACCACACGCTACAAAGCACACATTTGTATGAAAGATATTTGAAAAATATGAGTGTCTAACTTGGTTTGCTGCAACATATGATCAATCAATTTTGAGCAGATAGCCCCAAAATAACCAACTCACTGAAGGAATTCTTCCAATTGATGATGAAAAAATCAAATTAATTATTCATTGATTTATCAGACTTTATTGATTTCCTTTCATGGTTAAGAAACTAGAAAAGTAGCCCATATTGCCCACTGGCTAAATAATATCTGCTCACTCAATTTAGAGCGTTTAGGCAAAGAAAACCATGTATATAAAATAATTAGGGCGTGCAAAAAAAAAAAAGAAAAAAAAAAAGTCATCTATGTATTCAAATGGGATAGTAAAACTATTTTTTTTTTTTTTTTTTCAATTTTGTAGATTTTCAATCTTTACCCATGAGACATCCATGTTTGTTTGATCAAAATTCCCAACAATTTTTATTTGCTCTATTCTACTATCGAAACTCAGGACTCAGGACGCGAACCTCGCGAGTCAAACCTGGCATGGACCGGAGTTGAGTTCAGAACCTTGAAGTGGATAGAAAAAGGCAAATGAATGGGAACAAAAAGCAAACCAATTCATCAAGAAGAAGACAATAAATATATGGCTGTATGCAATTGTATATAAGCCCATTAACTTTAGCTCATCAGAAACCAAAACAACCACTAGTCATGTCTAGAATCCAATCCAATCCAACCCAACCCAATAACAAAAGAAACATTTTTAGATGGAGGATGAGTCTATGCCAAAGGCATTGGACAAAGCAGTGAACACTGCATCCATTCCATTTGCTTCATTTGCCAGCAACCTCCAAACATGTTACCCTGATACAGATGATCTGTCAATGGGGAGGTTGCCTTCAATAATAATACACTGATTTGATCCTTTCATTTCATAATCTAGCGGGAATCCCAAATGTTTTCCTATATCAAATCCTTTTGAAAGGTACATTTGCATACACCTTCCTGTTGGGGTTCAAGTTTCATTGTTACCTGATACATATTATGGTTCTAAATATCGGTATCATGAAAGCTACATTTGCACCTGTTGTGAATTCTGATACAAATTCTCCTTTTTCTATTTTTTCCCCTAGAGATGGCAAAAGTGAAAGTACATTTGCAAACAGCATGAAGGGCATGGGAAGAAATGATACATAATCCTGATTATATCAACTATAATTGCAAGTGCAATCTTTATTAGTTGCAATCTGTTGACTTGAAAGGTGAACATAATTCAAAATCTAATGAACACTTCCTTTTTTGCTAATTCCTAATCACTTCTCTTGCTTTTTGCTGCCATTAGCTATAATGGCAGTATGGCACCAATGAGATCTTAAGGACTTCAAATTTGATTTGGAGAAAGAAATATTGTTTCACTGTCAATCCCAAAATTGTTTGACATCCAGGCAGGCATGTACCTTATATGTGAGGAATTATTGAGTAGTTTCATGACACGTTTGATTAAAGGATAAAAAGGGTTAAGAGGTGGGCCCATCAGAATTTTAGTTCACTGTTTGATTGCGAGATTAAAAGAGATGTGTGGAAATATTTGGACCCACATGTTTGTTAGTTCAACATTTATTTGTTAGTATTAAAATTGTGGGTAAATTTAATTCAAGTATGGGGAAATGTGAGAAAAAAATGAGGGATTCTTAAATAATATAATAGAGATTAAGGTATTAAAATGATTAGGTCTCTCCGAATTATTTTCGTCTTTCATCCAATATTCAAAAGTATTTATATATTTTTATTTCATCCTAATCAAATATGATACATAACTCCTTCTATTCAATCTTTTATCATATAGCCAATCCCATAAAAAATAATCCGGCAATTAAATGTGCCCTTAGAGTACCAATAGAATGCTGACATGGTGCATCCAGACCAGTAAGAGGATTAATCGCAAAATGAGCGAAACCAACCTGGGTGGAAATGAGATCAGCCCGTCCATTCTGTTTTGCGCTGCCTCATTACGCTGTGTTTGGTTGGGTTATTTGAGAAGAGATTTGGAAAGAGAAAGAGAAAAGATAGGTGAAATGTGAATAAAATATACCTACATTTCACCTAGTTTCATATATCTTTCCTTTTCCTTTTCCTTTTCAAAATTCTTTCTCAAATCTTCCAATCAAACACAGTATTACTCAAAGCACAGTGCACTTGTCATGACAATGCTCCGAAAGTAGTGAATAATTTTACTATGCAGAAAAGGCACTACCATAGTGATGTGCTTCCATCAATGTCTCACATCCATTTTGATAAAGCGAAGATGCTACGAGTGTGAGGAATCTACACTGGCATACATATGTGAAACCAAAGAGTGACTTTTATCTCTCTTGTTTTTCTCCAAACAACCTTGAATGCCAATTATGAAAATTCACAACTTAGGACTACTACCGTTCACAACAACACAATGCCAGCCAATTTTGTTGTTGCTAGCTGCAACATGGCTTAATAATCACACTGATGATTGAATGCAAACTTTTTAATAATTAGATTCTATATTAATTGATTCCCTTTTGATTATCTTTCACTTGGATACGTTCAGAGAATTACAAAGCGATATCAATTCCTGCAGAAAAGTTGAACACCAAGATAAAAGATGTAGGACCTCTTTCCACAGCAATCTTCAAACAAGTCATCATGGCAAATCCTAAGATTTGTCCCTTCGCATTGTCCCCATGTCAATTGTATTTATTACTAATAAATAATAATACACTGTTCTAAATTCTAGTTATTTGAAGGTTGATATGTTGAATCCTTGTTTTTAACCTCATATCATATGAATTATGTAACTCAACTTCTTCTATATCAGACTTTTCTCAAGTCATCTGTTCCATCCTCTTTCAAACCCTACATAGACAAAAAGTAGGACACTCCATCTGTGGATATCATAATTTCTGTATTCTACAATAGACTCGTAAATTGTAAAGCATATATGCTACTATGGGGTGTTTGGTGTGGATTATAGGGGTGCTATTGTTGGAAATGGTAGAAAAATTCTGGGTAAAACCAGAATTTTTTCTCAAGTTTGGTCTAATTTTTAGGTGGGCACCGAGTGTCGATTTACTCGGGTCAAAGTGGTAACGCGTTCTATGCCGCGTTGTGATTCACGTGGTATATTTGGTTGCTCAAAACCATTACCGAGTGAATGGGAAATTGAAGCCAAAGTGTGCTCCATGGAAATGGAGTTTTGGTGAAAATTACAGAGAATTACAAAGCGATATCAATTCCTGCAGAAAAGTTGAACACCAAGATAAAAGATGTAGGACCTCTTTCCACAGCAATCTTCAAACAA